GCAATAATGACTCAGCTATAAGCAAAAAGAATGTGCATGTGTGTAAAAGAGAGAGACCACAGATGCAGACCTTGATGACTTGGTGTGATTATCCCAGTACAAGACTTTATAAGCAGCTTCTGCTGACTGACAGGCAGAGGACAGCATGTCATCCAGCTGCTTCAACCTGGTGAAGGCAAATGAGACCCACAAATAAAGGGTGAACAAATACATTTCAATCGATTTGCAAATACATACCATGAACAAATACTCAGAAATGCACCGATAGCTACAGTTTATAAACTGCTTAAAAAATAAAAATAAAAAAGGAAGAAGAAACTGACTTCCTCCATCTTCTTTATCAGTGTTTGCCTGAAACTTAATCTTTAAATTGGATATTTTAAAATTGTATGAAACAATAAATATGCCGGTAGCAGGTAGGACTCTAAGTCAATACTGTGTGATGAGAGACACATTCAAGTTTATAATAGTTTGGAAATAATGACAGTTTCACTCCGATCAACAATTGTGGGATGCATTACATTTTATAAATGTAAAGTTAACAACTCTACAGGACAACTAAGCATTTCCTCAAAGGTTTTTCCTCCAAACACGAGCCAAGTGTTTGCTGACATCTTCCATGTCAACTACAGGCAACCATGGCAACCTGCTAATAACCAAAGCAATTGAAAAGAAGTTTTTGATGCATCGCTGTAAACCTCTCTACAACCAATTTCACCTAGTGACTGCCAGCAACCTCAAGCAATTGCTCACAAATCAGCAAGGGAATATACTTTTTTTTCCCCCCTAGCGACCAGTGGTTGCCAGGGGGTCACCTAAAGGTCTCTAAACCTTCCAATCGGGACCTTAGCTTTTTGAAACCAGAGTTTATAAGTATAGAGTGCATCAAACATTGAAAGCATACTCTGCTTAACTTCTTTCTGCACATTACGGGGGACCATAATTTACCAAATGAACATAATGTTGGATTCAGTAAAACCTGAAAGAAGTGTCTCAGACTCTAAACATACTAGTAACAAGTATACTATGGGCATGGATCAAGTGAGCTGAGGGCTCTGGACTTTGTTTTTGACAACCACAGGTTGTCTCTGCTGGCCTTTTAAATGAAAGCAGGTTTAAAGCAGCTCCACACTGACTTCATTTTTTAGATCTGGACGCTACATGCTAATAGTTTAAGTCGTTAAATGCATAATTTGCCTTACAGGTCTTTGACTTCCAACATGGCCTCCTGTTTGGTGAGATGAATGATCTGCAAGTCTCTGCGATACACAGCATGAAAGCGACGCTTCTGAAGCTCATCGTCTGAGGCTCTGCCCCTACACCTGTCCTGCAGGTAACCCAGGGCAGCCGGCAAAGATACTGCTGCTAAACTCACAGCGAACCAACCAACTGATGTCAGAAGAGGGAGACAGAAAAAACAACATAGTAAATTATTCAAAAGGCAACAATAAGGCTGAATAAGGCTGTGTAATGGTTCCTCCTACCTTCATTAACTGTGCAGAAGAAGACATTGAGGAAAATACAAACAAGCAGAGAACACAGTGGCATCTTCCACCTGAGAGATTAAAAAAAAAGATCATAATGAATACTGCAATATAAATATGTAGCTCTGTGATTACTATGAAAAAGCAGTTATGTGATGTTCATACAGGGTACAGAAAGCACAAATACACACCCGAGCAGGAAGCGAATGAGCTCCACTGTATCTGTAACCGGTTCTAGATATAGAGCCATCCTCTTATAGGACAAAACCATGTTGAGGAGGTCAAAGTTTGGTGTACTGCGAGGGCTTCCCAACTCAGAGGCATCTGGAGACCCAGGGGCTTCTTTAGACAATGTGTGCACCAGCTCCCCCCGATCCCCTGTGCCCTGTGAGGGGTCTTGGAATGATCCAGTACTGTGCAAAGCCATCCCTGGACAGAATGAGGGACAGACGACAAGCAGGATTCAGGTGTTGAATAACTTCGAAAGCAAAAATGCATCTGCTGTGATAATATTACCAACTGTCTAGAGCTTCAGCAACAGAAAGTTTGTAAACCCTTTTGAATTACTGAAATTTCATCTTCTTACAAATAAAGACAAACATAAACTGATAACACAAAAAAAACGTCTTACAAAAAGTCCAAGCTGAGAAAAGTAACAGGCCTCGAGTTTCCTATATCTTAGAATCTCTTTTAGCAAAAACTTACATCAGATCTTTTTAGCCTTTATAGAGGATTTTCAACATTTTCCATCATACATCAACCTTAAGCAGTTGTGTTAAGGTTAGGACTCTGACATGACTGTTCCAAAAACATGAATTTTCTTCTTTTTAAACTATCGTGTTGTTGATTTACTTGTGCACTTTGGTCACTGTGTAGTTGTGGCACTCTACTCCTGAGATAGCAAAGCAGCCCCAAACCACAATCCGTCCACCGCTCTTTCAGTTTTAGAGCTGGTAGACAGTACTGTTCTAAAATTCACAAATACAGAGTTGTGTGTTTTAAATAGAAAAATGGACTTCTTTGTCATCTGTCCACAAAACATAATCTCAGAAGTCATTGCAAACCTGAAACACACTAAAATGCTTCCTTTCATTAATACTACTCTTATTTGGTGTTTTGAATGAACAAAAATTCTGATACTTGGAGAGATTTTTACTCTTTGTTGAGTTCATCAAGCTGAACTCAGTTTTGCTCAATATTAATTGTACCTCTCAATAAGCGTATTAGTGTAACCCTCCACAGCAGTCCCTGTTTCTTCTGTGACCCCCTTGAGAAAATTAACTGCTTTAGTGAGATTAACACCAGTGCTTGATTTGTTCAATTTGTAGACAGTCTGCCTCGTTATGACCAACCACGTTTTCAGAGACGCTTTTGTTGGCTTTTCCGGGGTCTATTCCTGAGGTCCTGTGAGAGAAACCCATCATCCAAGCGTTATTGGAAAGAGCGAATTTCTCCACTAACCTATCTTTGTGCGCTTTAGTTATATGGAGGATCTCCCATAACCCACGCTTACAGTCTCAACTCCTTTATACGAGTTGATGAATGAACAAACCTAGCGTTCAGGTGGATTCCTTCCAAGTGTTACGATATGTTGGTAGCTTTCATGAGGACTACTTATTTCTGATTAATCTATTAAAATAGATTTCTTTATCGTGACCATAAGGAGGGAAATCCGGGCTAACTGCTGTGGCCTGCGAGATGCGGTCAAACCGGAAAGTTAACTCAAGTCCTGTGCCGGTGGGAGAGCGCTGTGCTGTACAATAGCAGCACGGCACCGGCATGTCAGCCTTGCTAACACTAGCTACTAAATACGAAGGAGATCATTTACCTCGAGCTCGGTTTCCAACAACAACCAACTTATGAGGCGGCGGCGGTGCTGAAAGGAGCTCAGGCGAAACTAGCGAGTCCCACCGATACCATCATCTTCAGCCTGGAGGAAGAAAGAGCCTCCAAATTCAAGCAGCTCAGTCAACATGGCTCCGGTTGTCCTCCTGCATGGCCACAAACCTGGAACAACGAGGCGATTTCTGAAACTGTCAGCGTGTCGGCATAGGGAGTAAAACCGCTATTTTGCTTTTTTGGACCTGCTACCTTTGCTTTGCTAGCTCTGTTCAGCTGCGAGAGCGTCTGCTTCCTCGTTTAATCCAGGCCTGATAATTGATAACAGAAAATGGTCAACGGCAGGTGTCCAAACCAGTCGATCGCAGAGAGACTGATCAGTCACGCTCTTTTTTTTTTTTTTTTTTTTTTTTAAATTAAGAATACTCCTTTGTAAAACAAGAACATAATAAACATATTTTTTATTAGGGTTTAAAAAAAACAAACAATTATATTTGTACATTTTACCACCATCTGCGCTCTTGGACAATCTTTCCATACATTTCAATTTTATATTGAAAGTAATTTTGTGAGTAATAATAATAATAATAACAATAATAATAATAATAACTCTTTGTGACCTTTAAAGCAGAAATTATTCAGACTGTCAGAGTTTTGACTGTTATGATTTATCAGAATAGCTTTCATACCAAAACATCTAATTAAAGGATGATTTTGTGTTGTTGTTTTTTTTTTGTTTTTTTTGGGGGGGGGGCTCCAGTAGATGTGGAAATGGGTTTTTGTTGATTATTAGTGAAAGTAAAACAGTTAAACAAAATGCACTGATGGATACTGGGGGCTTGGATAAATACTGGAGAAGGGGAGCCATGTGTCCCCATTAAGCAATAATTCAGTCATACTGACTGGATCCTTATACCGAGAAGTGAGAGCCCTCCACTTACTAACAGGGCCTCATTCTGAGTGAAAATGAGAAATGAAAGATGGGTTGACCAGTGAAGGACGAAACTTACAGCTTCCAAGTAGCATAAGGCTACTGCTGATTTTGTTACACACAAAATGAGGTCATGACAAAGTAAAACTCACCTGGTTTAAAGAGCTTCAGTCAGTCCTTGACCACACATTTACTGTACAGCAGTTGATGAAGATTAAATAGCAGCTGTGGAATTTAGACTGTTGCTTTAAATCCCAACACACAGGCAGAATGTAATAGAAATAACAGAGGAAGCTTAAGTTAAGGTTTTGCAATTTTGCAAAGCTATTCAGCAAAAATGAAGGAGGAGTATCCTTCTGCAAATGTGCAAAGAAAGAAGGAAAAAAAGAGGAAGATGATATAAAAGTGTCAGCAAGACCGTGGCAAGTGGAGCAGTTAATAACAATCAAATGAAACACTAAATAACTGAATGCTGCTAGTTTAGTCTGGGAGAGACTTGAATGACACATTATTTCTTTTGTTAACATTAAACATTAGTTAACTTAGCTTAAAAAAAAACAAAAAAAAAAAACGATAAATAAATAACAAGTCTCAACTTTAATTCATTCATTGTTTAGGAAATTGTTTTCGTACAGTTCCCCGTTGTTAACTGAAAAACTCCTCTACTGGGTTAAGATCAGGTGACTGATTAAACAAAACAAAACAAAACAACAAAAAAAAAAAAAAAAATCCACTTTGTGACTTTCTACTTTTAAATACTACTTTTATTAGTCCAAATACATTATTTTACATAGTGTAGTCGAAATAAGAGGCATAGAGTAGTACATATGTGAGTCACAGACAATTATATAAACGGGATTGGCATAAACACATACTGGCTCAACCAGTAGTTTCTTCAATACCACGAACATAATTAAAATGGCACTTGGAATTACACTGAAAGGCTCCACACACATTTAGTTTTCAGCACTTACTACTGACCTGACATATACCGTATGCATCTAAATGTTGACCTCAGTGATCACTGAGCTACAGTTCCTGGAGCTTATTTTCTTTTCACCATGTAATCATAAAAGTATTTAAATTTGTCTGAGAGTTAGATAGTTTTAGTTTTTGACAGGTGACCTAAGATGCTCGTTGCAGTATCTATAACTTGAGATACTGCTTTGTAAGATTTCTTTTGAAACAACACAGTCTCAAAGGGAAGACCTGGTCAAAAAAAAAAAAAAAAAAAAAGTGGATTGCACAGAGAGACCTCATACTGGTGAGTCATTTCGGGTTATATCAATATACAGTAGGGACTGATTATGGCCACTGAGCATGGCGCACCTCAGAAACGTAAATATTTGCGTCCTGTATTGTGAATGTTGCTTGTTTTTAGACATGACTCTTCTGAGCGTGCTGTGCCTGTATATCACGTGTGCATGGGAAAATATTAAACGTCCTTCTTTGACATTTTACTCAGCAGAGGCAGGACTGATAGGTGGCTGCTAACATAAAAATAAAATTTAAACATATTAAGCCTTGCATAAAATCAACTTTTATGCATATTGCATAACAAAATTCCAATCTCAAGAACCACACTACTGTAGCTGCTTGCTATGAGAGCGCTGGTGGAATTTGAGCCCACCACAGTTTCTAAAAGACTTTCCACACTGTCCACAGATGTAAGGCTTCTCTCCAGTGTGGATGCGGAAGTGCCTGGTTAAAGCACCAGAATGACGGAAACACTTTGAGCAGACTGAGCAGGTATATGGCCTCTCTCCTGTGTGGATTCGAAGGTGGGTCTTGAGATTCTCCATGCGATTGAACTCTCGGTTGCACACTGTGCAGCGGAAGGGGCTGCAACCCGGTGGGTAAAGCTGCAATCTGGCCCTCTTGCTTCCTGCCACAGGTTGCTGACAGCGTTGCTGGAACCTTAGCTGGCACTGGCCAGTGTGTCGGCGCAACAAGCTGGGCAGATGGAAAGTCTGACCACAGGACTTACAGGCATACAGGGTAGCTATGGGGTGGTTGAGTTTATGACTGGTTCGAACATTGACTGGGTAAACCTGTGGAACGGCCTCTGACACAGGAGCTGGTTCGGACAGCTGGAAGATACTGGAGAACTCTGCAGGGAGGGATGGAAGATCTGTGGGCGGTTGAAGGGTGGAGGCTGGGTTTGAAGGATGAGCTGCTGAAAGACATAACATGCAGAGTTAATTACACTGTAGAATAATTATTTTAAAAAAAAATATTTTTCAATTACACAAACTTCATTAGCCTTAAAGATCAGAATTCATGTAGTACATACATAAAACACTTATTTGTTTACATGTATTAAGTCAGTAGATTGACCATTGTTTTTATATAGAGCAAACATTTTTTGAATCCTTTAGAATAATCTGAGGAATAATCTGACATTTAGCCGCCTGACTGGAAGTCCAGATGTTAAAATTTTGCATCACTAGATAGTAGGAAAACATAAATGTCGTGCTGTTTGACTGGCACATGGGTATGAGGCAAATGTTCTATTGCATACTGGGTGTACAACCAATCAATATTATTGATAATGAGAAATTGTCTGTTACTTATATAGAACTTTTGTCCCACTAGCAACTTAGATCATTTTACATTGCAAGCCAATAAACACATTCATTTCCCTGCACCGCCAACTTTTTGTTTATCTCACATGCACAGATAAACTCAATCCAGCATCGCTAGTTAACTGAACATGTATGTATTTGAACCATGTGAAGAAACTGCTGTATCGGTGCCAGAACACTAAAAACATCCCAAAAATTTCAAACCCAGAATCTTTGTAAAGTAACAATGCCAACCGAAAAACAAAAACTACTCTGGGTCATGAATGAAAGTATTTCTATCTACCTGAACACAAACAGGAAACTGCTGTTGTTCTTGTATGACTATGATGTCTAATTTAATTATACAAACTCAGGAGATAAAATTATAAAAAAAAATAATCTTTCACTAAGCCTGTATTCTGTCATCGTGTTGGCTGTGCTCAGTCCCAGAAGGGCAGAACTGGCCAAACATTTGTTCTCACTTTCACAATTCCCTATACAGCTTCCTTGGAGCTTGTCCAGCTTCCACTATGGTGGCAGTCAGAATGGACTGTGGGCTGGTGAAGTTAACTGCTGGCACAGAAAGTACTGCTTGTCCTGCTGGTACGATGATCTGAGGTGTCAGAAAGAATGCTGGTAGGTCTGTCTCTTCACTGATTGCTTTGACATGATGGGATGTGGGAGGTGACTAGAAGTCATCTCCCTCTGTTGCGTCTGATCTGCTGTCATCTCTAGCAGCTGCCAGTGATGCTCCTGTTGTGCTGGCATGGCTTGAGCACTGCTTACTCCTGTAGATGCTTGTCAGACTCGGGGGCAAGCTGCAAGCAGCACAGGACTCTGAAGCAGCACTAAGAGTTCCTGCCTCTTCTACATGTTATACCATTAGACCAGCATGTTCTGGTTTATTTCCATCAGCTGAATGTCTGCTCCCTTCATCACCTGAGAGTTCTAAATGCTAAATCTCACAACAATCCCTCAGAATTTAGGACCAACTTGGTTCAATCCCCTTAGCATTCCTTTTTGTGGCGGTGGGAAGAAAAGAGTCTTATGTTTTCCACTATCTGGAAGTAGCCAGGACACTACAGGTCCCAAACTCACACTACAAGTCATGCTCTCTGAACCTGGCATTTGTTTAGAGCTTAAACCAACTTTTCCTTGTCACCTTGATCCAGTCTCTTGCACAAAGCTATAGTTGTGTTTGTCTGCTGGATACTAACATAGAGATGTGTGATCACACAGCTCTACCAAATCCTCAACAAGTCTGTCAGTATTTTAGTTATTCACAGCCTTTTCAAATGAATAAACAGAAAGGACAATAGCAATGTAAGATGTTTACTGTCAAAGACCTTTAACAACATTTTTCTATGCTGTGGATTTAACTAAATATGTGTACACAAGTACTCAGAAATACTATAGATTGGCTCAGTGATGGCATAATTGCATCTATGGCTCAAACATACCACATTAATGAACCTAATTTGCATTACAATTGCTTCATTTGAGATTAAACTATTTTAATTACATCGTAAGTGGACTTACACATAATTTAAGCACAACTTTAATGCTTGTTAATGCTAAGTAAAATGAACAGCTAATCATTTTGCACCCAGTGAAATAGCACATGGCGAGTTGGCATATAGTCCATCTACCAGTTTTAATAGTAATTACTGAAACAGACAATAATTTCCCATAATGATCAAATCTAGCTGCAAATGTGGCTGGCCTGCAGATCCAAAAATGACAAAAATTTCCCTGGATGATCTTTCAGCAACTTGATCACAAGGAAAAATGTCTATTTACTCTTGTGGATTCCACATTTCTAAATCTGAATATTGGAAATGTCAGTGCAGTACATTTGTAAAACTAAACAATTCATGAGAGAAGGCTCTGCAGTGTGTTAACTGTGTTTACAGGCCTGGGTTTTTTTAAGCCCTCTTGAATCTCAAACATTTTACCCTCCCATGGAGGTAAATGCAGTTTCAAAGACTTTTCCACTTTAGGTGAGTATGTCATTGTTAGATATTGCAAATCTGATCTTAATTTCAACCTTATTTGTTGTAACAGAGGGAATACTTTGTGGCAGTTTTCGCTCTTACCCTGATCGAGCCCATCGCTGGACAGCTGAGAGTTTGAATCTTGGCTCTGAATATCCTGCACTTCTGGTTTCCACTCCTCCAACATTTTGGACTGGACTCCAGATATACTCTCCAGGCTAAAATCCTCCACTTTAAAGGAATCCAAACAGCAAGAGGAACCATGTGTTTCCTCTTCTGGCTTCTCCTGCTTTACAGTAACCCGAGTAACCAGCTCTCGAGTGGATTTGCCAAGAACGCTGGGAAGTGGTGGTGAGATGCCATCTTGAGCTGCTTGGTTTGGACATACTGGGTTCATACGTTCGATCTTCACCATACAAACGCGAGAAATCTCTTCAGTTACCTCTGCAAATAAAGAGATGCCAGCATTTAATGATTTCTTTTAAATTAGAAAACTAAGACAATTTTTCCATACATTATAAAATAAATTTAAAGTCAGCCTTCTATGGAGCTTGAGCACAGTAACTTTGCAACTGTTTCCAAAAACAGTTACTTTAAAAACAGAACTCAAAACAGATGTGAGGATCCAGAACTTTATGTTTGGAAATCATTACAGCGTTAGCCTCTTTTCTCTCTAGTCTGAAACCATCAGGCATGTAATCAGGGCACAGGTCAAAAGCCAGCATCAGAATCAGAATACTTTAATCCCAGAGGAAATTATGTGGTCACAGTTGCTCCAAGAGTTTATTTTGTTACTGTTCTTACTAAATGAAATAATACCATATGTTACAAATATAACAACATAGCTCTTATTATAATTATCCCAGTATTAATTAGATCGATAGATCACACTGAGGTGCCCTTCGTATCATAATCCCACACAGCAAAATCTCCAGTGTTAAATTAACACTAGAGAGTGTCTATCTGGGTCCACACCTCCGAGTGTTAAATACAACACTGTTGAGTGTTAAATTAACACTTTTGACAGTGTTATATGTTTAAAAGTAACCTAGTCGGTTTTGAAGATTAACAATGGCTAACACTGGAAAATAACTCAAAATGTTAGAAATATTCCAGAGTTAGAAAATCAGCACTGCTCAGTGTTAGCCATTGTTAATCTTCAAAACCGACTAGGTTACTTTTAAACATATAACACTGTCAAAAGTGTTAATTTAACACTCAGTGTTGTATTTAACACTCAGAGGTGTGGACCCAGATAGACACTCTCTAGTGTTAATTTAACACTGGAGATTTTGCTGTGCACAAACATCTGGTGTGGCAACAAATTGGTGCACAAAGCATGGGTAACCTGCAAATCTGTGAAGACACCATTAATGCCGAATATACACATTTTTGGAACAAGATATTGCAACCCCATTAATGCATAACTTGGGTGGCATACGTCACCATTTTTATTTTTGAAACACTTGTAAGTTATGAGCGCATCAAGACAAGCTAAAGACCTTTTAATGATTCTTGGATGATGTGTTGTGTATTTTTGATCTTTGCACTTGGTGGATTCACACACGAACCAACAGGTATATTGTTTAAGTCTTTGCATCGGCCGCAATCTTAACTGTGTTAAAATAAATAAATAAAAATTAAAATAGCAAAAAGGTGACTGTTTGCACTTCAGCAATCCTGCTAGTAAAACATTCTGTTGTTAAAACTGGCAACTGTGCATCACTGGTTTCACACTTGTCTACAAAACGTGTGAAAAATGTTCATCCCCATGCATTAACAGTTTAGCTGTTAGTTTCTGTGCACACATCGTGATCTAAATATAACTAGGATGCTGAGGCAATTACTGGGGCAGCAATGAAAGAGAACAAGTCTCACAAGTACCTCTAGTGCATCCATCGTTCGGCTCATTTTCTGGATCTGAAGCTGCGTCATTTATTCTCTCTTCCTCGCGCGATCTGCGCTCGTCGGGTCTTCTCAAATGTAGATCCTGGGTGTCACGAGGCTGATGCGCTCCGCTGTGACCCGCAGGGGTAGTGTCACCTCTGACCTCTGTGCGGCTGAGCACACTGCCCACAGCACTTGTGCTTATTTGACTGCAGTTGGGGTGTGGCGGTTGATCGGTGTATTTTATGGCACCGAAGAGCTGATTTGTAGTAAGAGGGCTTCCACAGTTCTCCTCTCTGCGCGCAGAGTCCAGCTTAGCTTCGGCTCTCTGCAGCTTTTGTTTGAGGGATTCGTTTTCTCGTCGTATCTCTTCATAGATGTCGCTCGTCACCTGACCTGCCACAAGCTTTTTCACCTCGCGAACCGCGATCTCCACGGCCACTTCAAATGCTCCGTGTATGGCAGCTACAAGCTCCTCTTGAAAGGACAGCGCAGCGTCCGCGCTGGTTTTGTTTGTTACGCACGGTCGCTCTTTGGTTCCAAACAGCTGCGGCTTCATGGTGCGGTTAACGACCCACTAACGCTGTGCAATGACTTAATATTAAAACCCCTGATGAGCACGTGATTTCCCCAATAATGGACCCCTTGTACTGATGGAGCTCGTTTATAAGCAAAGTGAGAGGTTTTACTTCCGCCAACAATTGCTTATGTGCCAACTAGTGGTCCAAACGGCGAAGTGCATCACTTTGTTGGTAAAAAAGAAAAAAAGGACAAAGTACAACTGAGAAACCTAAATTTATTATCTCAGCAACGACTGCAATATCTGAAATTATGCTCTTTTAAGGGCAAGCACAGGTGTAACGGCTGCTCCTGGGACGTCCTCCATCAGTCACGGGTTTTGTAATGGTCTAGGCGGGAAAGAATCCAACCAGAAGGCCCGAGGATGGCCAGAGACATCACCATCAAGACAAAAGCAGATTGCTGCAGAACAACAACATGTTACTTCTGTTACCACCAGTCAAAATTTGTAACATATTCAACAGACATGGAATTAGCGTCTACTTACGACAGCGCCTATTTTATCTTTGGGCGGTTTGCCATGGATGTAAGTTGCTCTTTGTTGAATACCTGACCCGGGTATAAGAACCCGGCCAGCTTTTAATCCTGCAAAAAGCCCACGCATGTTTGGTCTTGAAAGGAAACGCTGGTCACACGCAAGAGAAATAACCACCAGGCGTTTTATGAGTTTTTAAAGAGATCTCCTCACACGCCTGCTAATTGGTCTTAATTAGGTGCTCTACACCTGCTGTAGAAAACGAGCTTTGTTTTTTAACGTCAGCTACATCCTGAAAGTAAATAGTTAAGGTATTTCGAGCAAGTTAAGCTAGAATCTTGGATCTACTAAATGCTCGTTATCTTAAGTAAATGGTTAACTTTTAAAATCTGTCCTTTTCCTGTTGACGATCACATTAAACTCTAAATTCAGGGTTTGGGTCTCCCACAGTCACAGTGCTTCCTTTTATCAGTGTTTATAAGCATATCCAGTTTGATGTACTTCTGTTTTATTTAAATTACAATCAACCTCCTACACGGTAAAAAATAAATAAAAAGATGGAGCGTTATGAGTTTATATAAGTCAGGGCCGTATGAGAGTATATGAATAAAAAACTTTACATTACCTCTAAACCAGCCATTGCTAATTGCTACCTTTCCACCAGGCTTCTTGCCGAATGGTAGGAACAATGGGTCACGTGGTATGTGCTATTAAATGATGTTGAACGTCTGAACAGAGACTGGATAACGGCAGTAATTTCAGTGGCTTTAATCGTAGGAGGTATTAGCTTTAGTTCAGCTTGTCTAAAATAAGTTAATAATGGCGCACTCACTTTTTTTACAGGTAAAATTGCTTTGCGTGGGTTTTATTAACGACTTCACTTTATTAATCTCATTAATAACAGGAAGGCATAGATAGAAGTACCACTGAAATTTCGTTGACGGAAGAAATGGGAGAAATGCATAAAAGAGGCTTGAAATAAACTTATCAAATAAGACAGTTATGATGCCTCAGACCATTTTGATCTATTCAATATTCTTCAGGAGATCCTGAAGCTCATGCTCAAGCAATGCACTCATGTTCAGCTCTCATGCATAGATACCTGTAAGGTTAATTAGACGGCTATTTAGAATTTTAAGACAAAATAACCCCGCTTTTAATCTCGCCACATGGATTTGTGCGAAATTAAAAGCACAAATCCATGTGGCGGGGTTAATGTTTGCTCTGTTGGTTATTGTTTTTCTTTTTGAATGCTACAGGCTGACTCTTGCTGTGAGGTGAGCGCACAAACACTAACGTCACTAATGGATTAGCCTACTCTTTGATTATTCCTTTACGTCCCTCATGACACCGCGTGCCACTGACGCGCCCCTGCGAAGTGGGTCGGCTGGGCATTAGCCGGTGTGAAGGTTACACTTTGGATGCCGGTTCATTAATCAGGTTGTCTGTCTACTGGCCTAGTGCATACAGTTGTCTCACTCAGACTGAAGGTAAGCACCCTTATTATTGCATTTGTAGTTTACAGTTATATTTGGGATACACTGTCAAGATGATAATGGAGAATTATTTGATGTAGATTTGGGGCTTTTGATGCTTTAGATATGACATGGAGACTGGCTGTCACACAACAATGTGACGCATAGAACTATTAGGCTGTGAATAAACTTCCAATTTCCTTATCAGTTCTCATCAGCCAAAACAAAAGCAAAAAAGCAAAAAGCTAGCCTAATCTTAAAAATACCAGTTTCTCCTGAAACAGCAAAAAGACCTGAAGTCACCCACTTCAAACATGAGGTGGTGTTTTGTTAATGTTTTTTTTTTTTTAAAGATACACATGCATGTTTTTTGAAAGCCTACAGGGGGCTTGAACACATCTTGTCATGATTTAGCAAAAAATACAAAATTCTGTCGTTTTCGTCTTCTCAGATTTATTCTTTTTCAGGTTTTACTTAATACAATTAAACAATTAGAAAATCTGACTTTTTATGGCCCAGTTAAGTCACTGAAAAAATATATTGGTAAGAGAAATTTGCTATTTGCAGTCCCACATAAGTGTTTTCACATGGATGTGTGCAAGTACATGAGTTTGTACAATGTGTAAGTTGTAATGTGCCCAACAAACTCCCTACATACTGTACTTAACCCAATACCCATGAGTAATGAGATAAGAGTTTGTCAGACAGGAAAGGATGGTGTTGGTAAATAGTTTTTTTGGCTCCAGTCATGGAAATTGTCTGCTGGATAAAAGCTTGTGGTCATGATCTCTTTATCCTTATCCTTATCCTTAGTTTGACCAGGTTAGTCTCTCTCCTTTTAATTCTCTCTCTTTTACCTTATCTTCCAGACTCTCAGCAGTGCCCGTACATTGGGTTCACATCATCATCCTCGTGCCCTTATATAACAACCCAGAAATTCTCCAACCGTGTGACATGGCAGATTCCCTGGAATCCAGCTCCAGTGAGGAAAGTCTCCTTATGCAGTGGAACATTTCCAGTCGACGCAGCCGAAAGTCTGGATGCTCTAACATTTTTACAGGCTTGAACATGCATCAGCTACACAGGCTGTTCAGAATGTCAGGGGAGAGAAATGCTGAGCATCGGGCGAAGCTGGTGTGGCAGGGGATAGATGACGATATGCCAGGAGCAAATGAAGAAAAGGATGAGAAAGAAGGGGAAGAAACAGGGCTGGCCGAGGCCTTGGTAGGACTGAGAGTCCGAGCAAGGAATAAAGCAGGAATCAGAGTCGAGGGACGGAAAGATCACAAGTGGAACAGAGCACTGGGATATCTCAGGTATGTGTCTGTTTTGTCTTTTCCTACACAAAATAAGAAAAGACAGGATGTGTGAAGATAATGATTTTAGATTTTATTCGTAGAAAATTGTTTCCCCCTCGTATCAGTAATACTGTCACCAGTTAAACTTTGGGTTACACAAGCGCCTGCCTAAATGCAGCAAACAATTGTCATGTGTCTAACAAACTCATTTTAACCTCACATGACTGTGTGTTCCCCTGCATTCTG